AAATGTATCCTGTCCTATCTGAGAAACGTACTGTAGTAGGTCAAAAGCCATGAGAGTAGACAGAATCACTCGGAGGATCTTTCCAACCTTCAGCCTCTTGGGGAGAGAAAGACAAGACTGGCCACATATACGGGAGAACTCGACCATTGGGGGATCCGAGGGGCAGTAAATGACCAGAGTCAACCTACTAGCGATGGCCTCCACCCTACTAGCCATCCGCTACGTATACTAGTAGTAATGCCAGGAGCTACGTTCGTAGCTTGTTACCAGTAGCGATAGCCTTCATTGGATGATCTCCAAGTCGACCGTCCCATAAGATAGACCATTCCTTGAGCCTGGTCTCCCCTCGATGCTACTGGATGCTCCCACAGGTTCTGTCTGTTTGTTTGTGCTTTGCACGATGGAAAAACGCCACCCCAACAGGGCCCCTTCATCATAGAGGTGAGGCGGAAGCCAGGAAACCCAATCAATATGAATCCCGTTTCGTTGGCGCTCATCGCTTGCTTCGCCAGGGCCCCGCGTTTGGAAGGGGCACCGTGGAACCCCTTGCGTGAGCTGCGGGACAGCTGCGAGCGCATCTTTCGCGGCTCTCGGCCTGTGAAGGTTTGCCACAGTTACTGTGACACCACGTGTTCCAAGCCAACCAGCTCATGGTTTGGTGAATCTGGGTCTAGGTTGATAAAGCCACTGGCATGATTATGTATGATTGATAGCTTGGTTTGCCCGCTACACCAAACAGGTCAAAACTCAGTGCTTGAACACTTGAGGATAATATACGGAATTCAGAAGCTGCACACTTCCAACCTATGATCATGTCAATTTGTAGTTGTCTTTATTTAGCCACGCTATATCCCAGACATTCCATGGGTCCATGGGACGGGCATGTTGACCTGGGGTAGTCGACCTGGGGTCGGTCTTGGTGACGTGTTTGGGATATAGTCGACCTACACTCCTTGAAATAAGCATGGTGACGTGGATGAGATGGGATGGCATGGTCCTGCTTGGACTCAGAAGACCTTGAAGTCCGAAGACCAAGCAGGGGGTGATTCCTTTGGACCTCTCAATGGCCGCTCGATGTGTTGGTGTTTGGGCTGTTCTGCCAGGAGCTGGTCATCCAGAAGGAGGAGAGGGGCGAGGAGGCGGGGGCGGTTCGGGAAATCAAGCGTTTGTTGATGTTTGTTGGCCAGACGAGGTCAGAAGGGGACGTTGGACGTGTGACCAAAAGAGATTGCCAGTTCTTAGACTTCTCCGAGACTCTGAAGTCGCAAGCCGAACTTCCCAAGCCACGCCCAGGGCGCCTTGCGTGGCATGGTGAAAGGATTCGATCACGAGAGGCGACACGGAAACTGACCCGGCCGCTGTTTCGATGAACGGCTGTGAACATCATCCATTCCGTTGGTTTTGGGGGTCGAGGTGAACCAGAACCTGGGTTCAGAAGCACACAGATTGATGAGGCCTTGTTGAGGTATAATGTTTAATCATTTTTCATCCACATTCACTTTGAACCTGTTGAGCCGATGTGAAGAACACCTTCTAAGCGAAGCTGCTTCGCACAATCCTTGGGGTTTACGAATGGTCGAGTGGGTCTGAAGTTCTCTCATGTCTCGGTCCCATCGTCGTGTCCTCCGGTCGCTTCTTTGGTGGTTTCGCTCGCTGAACGCCCTGAAAACGTCGACAGGTCATCCTTGATGTCTTGGCCTATGTTCAAAGCCCTTCTCCGAGATCAGGCACGATTCCTCCGGAGTTGGCACGATGCTTTCGCGCTCCTAGAACCGGGGGAACCGCTCGCTCTAAGCGGGACACGTGGCACGTGGTCGTTGCGGCCAAAAGCCGTCTAGAATTGGACAGTGAAGGCCCGCACTGGTGAGAAACCCTCGAACCTGTAGACCATAGGCCCTATGTACACTGACTATTGTACACTAGGGTACGAGCTGGCTGAAGGAATGGGTCAGGATCCTTTGGTATAGCAGAACTATTGGAGTCCATTCCCATGCATTTGGAGATCCAGAAGCACGAACCTTGACCAGAAGTGCATAGCAAGAAAACAAAAAACACTGGGGACATCAAAGACCATCTAAAGGTAGAAACTCAAGATCGGCAAACAATCCACATACCGGATGTCGGAAAGTACTTCAAGCCAAGGGAATGGGTTTGGAGGGTGAAGTGTTTGTCTTTTTGTACCCAGACGCTCCAAACAGCCCTTGGTCCCTCAAAGCCTAGGGACTTGAGACCCAGACCCCTCCAGAGGATTCGGGTCCATGAGTCTTTACAGTAAGACTACAGTTGGATTGGTAGGAGAGCAAAGGAGTTCCAATGTTTCAGTACGAATATCCACGCTGAGCAAATATGTACTTCTGCTGTGGTGGTTGACACTTTCACAACATGTTTGGTGTCCAATTTCCCCAGGATGGTTATTTCTTGAAGATGAACTGTTGGTGCCATACCAAGGGGATCCAAGGGGTATCAAGGAGTATGCAACAGCTAGCTAGCTATGTTGCAATTTGCACTTTCAGATGCCTCAGACTCAGCCGTCAGATGGAGCGCCCCAGATGGCTTGCAGCACATAGAAGGTCCACAAGTTTGGCGGCCACCGGATGTATTATGATGTATTAGGTTGGAGGCCATCGGGCCATCTGAAGGTCCACCAGTTTGGGGAAGCTTCCCATCCACCGCCTGACCTCCTGGCCACCTCCACCACTCTCCACGACCTGGAACCTTGTTCGACGCAGGTGGGCCTGGACGCGTTGAACGAGGAGAAGATGGAATTTGCAGAGTACATCTTCCAGGCCTAGAAACATCTTCCAGGTCACTGGTGAGTCTTCATGACCGATCTTTGGTCACCTGGTCGAAGTTGTATGAAGTTCTTCGCTGCTGAGCTTGGTCCATTGAGTCCATTGCTTGCGCGAGGTTTCTGACATGTCACCAGAGCAGTGCCGTTGGGCACTGTAGAGTTCCTAGCAGATGTTACCGGCATCCTCCCGTAGAGCAAGCAAGGGATGTGTTGTTGCCCAGTTTCTTCCAGTGGACCCGAACTGGCTGATTGTTCACTCCTGCTCCCAGTTGGCCATGGCCCGGCATGCCATGGCTTAAGCTTGGTTTGCTCAGCAGCTCGTTTTTGGATCTCCTGGTCCCGCTCACAGGCCTTGGATGACGATGGGGATGGCATTGTCCCCTACCCTGACTTCGAGAAGGACACCGCGGCGACCACGGTGACGACGGATGTGGTGGTCACCAGCGTCACCCTGACTCCGCGTGTGTTCGGGGCCTCCTCGCACTCTCGGAAGGGATGAGTTAAACTGGAACATTGTTCAAACCAACTCAAGTGAACATGATTTGCAGTAACTCCCCTGAAATAGTAATTTCAGTGGAGTTCACCACCTGTTTGTGGAGGAAAATGGTCATCCCAGTGGCCGTTTGCCACTTCCATGGTTATTCCAGGGAGTGTACATTGAACATTGTACATGGTTTGGTATCTTTGCTGAAAGAGACACCTTCAAGCTGCCAAGCTCGTTAGACACCTCCAGCTCCATCCCTGTTGCCACTCTCTCGACTTCTTTGTTCGGTGTGCCCGGCACTGTGAGCATCCTGGTGTGCCAATCGGTCCACGGAACATCCGAGGACCAATTCCACCTTACCTCAAAATGAAAATCAATCCTTTGGTAACACATTCTGCCACAAAAGGAAACACATTCTGGTTACCTTACCAGGATTGTGTTTCCTTTTACTCATGATCGATGCTGAATTACACCAGACACTACGTAATGCCTACAAAGTAGAAGCTGACAAAATACCGCTGGAAACAGATTTAGATTTAGGTCTAATGCACCAGCCACGTCCTTTTGGGTTCCATGGGTTCCATCGTTTTGTCTGTCCAATCTGAACTGAAAGAACATATCTAACAAACATGTTGCCTAAACATGCTAGAGAACAAGTAGGGAGACCCGTCAACGGGCCTGGGTCAACTGGTCTATTGTCCTCCACCTCCCAAGGATCAACTCCCAGAATATGGGCCATTTGGGTGAGGGACGAATGAGTTGGAATGGAGCATCGTCCTCCCATCGCCTCCCATCGCCCCACGCTCCGTTTGGCCTCCCCGCCCCGTTCGTTCAGTTCACCGTAGGCCATACTGGGCGATGCTCGTGGCCCTCTGACAGAGCTTCTGCTTCAGCTGGCACAGGTCGGCGGTCACGGATCCATGCGCAACGCAGTCCAGCGACGTTTTTCCCCTTTCAGTGCTGAAGCAGCTGGTCTTTGGGGGGCGAAGAGATGCCCGAGCAAGCAAGCCACACCGAGCAAGCCACGGCCAGGCCTTGCGAACGGCCAACCTCCGCCTGCACCAGTTGGCCCGGAAGTCCAGTTAAGGGGGTTGGGAAGCGCCAAATCAGACAGGGGTCTTTCAAGAAGACCTGGAAGTGTGGCCTCCCTGTGGTTGAAAAAGGACAGCTATGATTTTTGCCCCCCAAGCCTCAAGGACACGGTCGAAAGTCCATCCCAGCGTGCTCATTGCACAGGCCTCATTATAAGACCGCTTTAGGCCGAATTAAACATCACCTTTCTATGCAATCTATTGCAGGTCCTCGAGTCCAAAAAAGCACGGTCATCGGCCTCCAAACAGTGGCCTCCAAACCAATGGCCGAAACCATTTTCCTGTCGCAACGGTTGTGGTCGCAACATGTCCAAATACCGATGGATCGCAGCAATGGCAGCGATCAACTCATCGTTGTCAACGCATGTGTGCTCAGATGCCACGTGAGCAACTGCCAAAACCTCCGATGAAGGCATCACTACAGTGAAGACAAATATATAGTAGTAAAATGAGGGAACCCTTCAGGATTGATAAGGTTCACAAAACAACGGCAAGGTTATAGTAGCGCATGTTGTTAGGTTCACTGAAAACGCACTACGCATAAGAGGTTTCACGTCGCCCACGTATCTTCGTATCTTCCCTTAATGGTCTCGAAGTCCAACTACACTAATGCACGAATGATAGGGGGCTGTAGATGGTGCGGCTGTGCGTGGTTTGCGATGCAATTCCTGGCGGCAGCTCGCCGACCCTGAGCGCTGAGCTGCACCTCAGACTGATCATCTGATTAGCTTTTGGGATGGACACCGTGGAACATGGCGAAGTGGTTCTTCCAGTGTTTTTTCGGCGCAGGTGTCTTGCGTCCTGAGAGCCCAAGGTTTTTTTGTGAAGAGGTCTTGCATCCTGAGATCTCAAGTTGTATGAAGTGAACTTGTTACATTGCAGGTATCAGGTCCTCGTTGACTTGGGCGTGGCGCGGGCCGATTCGACTGCGGATCGACCTCGCCTTTGCCGCCATTGCTCGCACTGGCGGGCGAAAGCGCTGCGGGTGGTGGAGTTCGTGGCAGTTTGGATCGGAGTGCCGTGGTTGCCCATGCTCGAGCAGTGCCTTTTTTACCCCCAAGAAAGAGAAAAGGGAACCTCGGCCAATCTGGTGTTCAATCTCTGTCCCTTGACTCTTTCTAATCTATCTAGGAGCCGCTCGGCGCCAATTCCTGTTCACGAAGGATCAAACCACGCTTGGAGATTAGAACATCTACTGACGTACATTTGTTTGGGCCGGGCGCTGGGCGCCGTGCGGCGCTAGGCCCATGTGATTAACTCTACGTGCTAAAAATAGAATTTGCCAGCAAAACGTAATAGTAGTAGTAAGCTTTCCGCTTTCCTGTAGCAGGCGATAGCCGAGTTGAATCAATGACTGCGTTCCCTAAATATAGAACATACTGACCAAAGGGACATACGATGTGGCAATTGTGGGGCGGGGCGCCGGGCGGCGCTGGGCGCCGTGCGGCGCAGGGCGCCGTGCGGCGCAGAGCGCCGTGCGGCGCTAGGCCCATGTGGTTAAGTCCACGTGTTCAAAAAAGCAATTGCAAGCAACACATAGTGGGAGTAAGCTTTCCTGTAGTAGGCGGTAGCCGACTTGAACCAATGAGTGCGTTCTCTCAACTTGGAAATATAGAACATACTGACCAAAGGGGCATACGATGTGGCAATTGTGGTCTTCGTTTTTGGCACACCTACTCAACAGTCTGGCACTACTGACCAAATAGCTTTTGCCAGCCGAACAACCATGGGTGTGCTCAAGCCAGCTCACAACATGTCGTTTCGCGGTCTTGGGAGCCAAGGCTTTTGTGACCGTGCTTCAGCGGCTGTTCCCGGAGGATCGCGCGCTGAAGCGGCCTGAGCTGGCGGAGCGTCGCAATGCGCTCCAGGTTGGTGGCGAGTTTCAGGAGTACGCTCTGATGCTCGTCAAGCAGTGTGAACCTCCTGGTTGGGGCTCTGAAATCCTGAGGCGTATATTGTACAGATATAGTTTATTCCATATGCACGCATGTATGTATGTATGTATGTATGTATGTATGTATGTATGTATTATGTATATTTCTACATTCAAGGTTCCTTCCAGTCTGCACCCTCGTATCAAGTGGCTCTCAGCCTGGTGGTTCTTTACCAGGGGAAGGCATTCGTCGTATGCCCATATATGCTTCAACCGAACATCACTCGGATTTTGACAGAGGACCAAACATGGGGCGCCGGCCCCTTTCTTGGACCGCGCGACGCTCCAGCTGTACACCCTCGTGCAGCACCAGCAGCCAGCGGACATCTTAATGTCAACCATAACTTTGCGTGCTTTGTGCAACGACGCAGAGCACATGAGGGCGTTCTGGCTGTTGTTCGAGCAGGCAGCTTGTTGTTCATTTTTCATTGGGTAGTTTCAACAGTCTAAAGCTGTCGTCACGGAATTATTGCGGAGGGGTGAAAATTGAAGACAGGGCCTTGGTCGCTGCGCATGTGGCTGACAGCTGCGTGTAACGCCTGAATGCGCGCAGGTCCGTGGTGTCCCTCTGGGCGCAATCTCCTTGCGCCGTTGCAGCGACAGTGCTTTGGAGGACCTTTGTTGCGTTCAGCTTCCTATTTCCTAGACTTCAGAACCGCTCATCTCACAGGCTTGCAGTGCGCGCGTCAATTTGACGATGCCCTTCCCAGGAGCTCGTCATGGCGACGAAGTCCCAATGGCACAGGTCTGGCATAGGCCAACGGGCCTGCCCTTGGCACGCAACTCGGTCGGAAGGCGGAATTACGCTAACGGGGTCCGATGGCCAGCCCCACAGAGTTATAGTCAAGTCAATAATATTACAGTTCAGTTGGCTTTGGAGGCGATGGTTTCTGCAGGGCATCCACCCCATGCATCGTCGTAGTAGCAATGGCTGTCAACTGGTATAGGCTCCAGAGCTGGAATTATTAAGATTCAAACACCTTGTATTCCCGAGAACATAACTACAGTTAAATTCCAAAGTGCTTCAAGATCGTGCGGGGCAAGGACCCGGGTTCCAGCACACCAAGCTCGCACGGTGCCAACGCCAGCCTCAATGATGTATTGAGCTGTGAAGGGATCACCGCCCTGCTCAGGCCTCGCAGAAGGGGCCCGCTCTGAGCAAAGCAGTGCGCTGGCTGCGGTCATGTTACGATCGCGTGCGGCGCATGGGGGCGAAGAAGGTTTTGCCGCTTGCCAAACAACATGCGGCCTTTCAGGTCGCCGAAGGTCGGCCCTTCAATTGCTTTGTGCCTTCGAGCTTGAAAGCAAACAGGCAAAGGCAGGCAGACATACACTCTTGAAATAATAGCCAACAGGCAAGATGCAGGCGTACATATCCCAGATGTCCATGGTTCCCAACCAAAGCCAGGCAAACCATGAGCTGCCCCGAGGGCATGTCCGAACTGACATAAACCTCTTACAACTGATGAGGACTATACATTTTTTTGCTTGAAACGTTAGACGCTAGAAATATTCAAACCGTCAATCCTCCTTGCACCGGATGTTTGGGCGACTGGATAACCCACATGCAAGCTTAAGGAAGTCGCTGTTCATTCAAAATAACTTTTGGGGCAAGGGTTTTGTGACAGCTCCTAGGGTCAGGGTTCTGAATATTGTGTCCATGCATTATGCCTTCTCTTTTCCACTCTGAGGAAAAAGGGCAAGATCCTCCAGAATCTGACGACGTGCGGGTTCAACAAAAGCGGACTGTGTCTTGGCGCACTGTTGGGCGTGGAAGAGTCGTGTTTTTGCAGGATGCAGTTGCCCACAGCCACTGTAAAGGCAACGGTCAACAGTTCCATTTGTAAATTCCTATCGCTTTTCGTATTTGTTCTGGCGCAGGGTGCAGAGTTTCTGGACATTGCTTTACACATCTCCCAAGTGTTTCCAATCACCACATTAACGGCCACTGAGATTTCGATCCATGGTGGCCAGAGATCTTGAAGCTCTTTTGCATCTCGAGGATGAGGAGGGCTGGGGGACAGGCTATACGCATGTTAAACTTCTCACCCAGCAAATCTCAAAACTCGTGTTTTGTGCATTAGAGTGTTGAGATTGAAAGTGTGTGTATGTGTCCCATGTTCCCAAGCGTTCCGCGGTCGCTATGACACATGAGCCTTTTGATACCATGAGCAGGGCCGTTTTTTATCAGGTGTTCTTGGCAGGTGCAGGCAAGCAGTATCGTAAAGTACCAATGCAGATCGTTGTCTGCTCACCCGAGCCCTATTCTAAGTGTGCGCGCGCAGTTTGGGGTTTCTTTGAACTTGAAATCAGTGTCTCGAAGTTTTTGTGGCAGAAGCTGGATGTGTTTTTTCTCGCTCCACATATATTAATAATATTGGTATATGAATAGACCTCCTGTATCTATAACTCTTTGGTTTCTCTCGTGGTATAGCCTTCTATATGATATCCTCGACGGTTCCTCTATTTATACGGTCTCCATCTCTCCTTATTGTTTTTGATTGGAAAGAGGAGATGTTTTTTGGAAAGTGGCTACAAGGACGAGAAAGTTTTGGCGGTGCCGGTTTTCTATTGGTTCAGAGGGAGAGAGAAGGGCACTGCCATTGGAAGATGTCACAGTAAGCATATTGCGGGCTCGTTCTTGGAACGTCGAGGGTTGAGGGGAACTTCATTGACTTCATTGTGCAATTAACCCAGCTTTGCAGCCCAACAGCAGTCAGCGCCCAACGTTCCAGACAGTGGCAAAACAGTGGCACCAATGCTGTGCCTAGAGATTGAAACCCAACTGCAGTTGGGAACAAACAAAACATGGAATTTGTCAGCTGTATACAGTACAGCGTCTGGCCGTGGCACAGGAGCATCCCGATTGGCACATGGGCTCCTATGCCCGGGATCAGCTCAAGGAGATCGTTCCTGGCTTGCGGAATGGCTTCCAGAGATTTCACCGGTGCGTTGTGCCTTGACGTCAATGTCAGAGCAGAACCATTGGATGTGAAACAAGGGCGGGGACATATTTGACCTCAATGTACTCTGTGTTTTCTCACTTGGGCTTGTCCCATCAAGACCGGGCCTCAGGTAGCGAAGCTGATGCGCGAGTGGCCTCAACTGACGCGCTACGTCCGGATCACACCACAATGCACAACGCACCAGCTTTGCGAAGACCGGCAGATCTTCAGTCGAGGCAAGCTCTGCGCCCGCTTCTGCTGGGCACGTTTCTTTGATTTCTTGAATCATTGAAGACAGGAGCACGTCTCTCCCCCATTGTCACTGGAGACTTAAAGATCTTTTCTGGGTTCCAGACAATCAGTGTGGACATGGGTTGAAATCTCACTTTTGGTGGGTGCACTGCCTGACCGCCAGAATGCGACCGCCAGCCCCGCTCTCGGCGGACCGGCGCCAGCCTTCGGGCCCTGGCAGCCGAGAGCTTTCACCTGTGCGGAGGCCGGTTGCAACTGATGTGTGAATGGAAGTTAACGTGGACGCAGAGCGAGTTTTCTCATGACTCATTGGCGCGTATTGGCGCGTCTTTCAGGCTCTGATGCAGTGGTGCTGCAGCAGAGATTGCGACGAAGTGTGGCAGCGGCGCCGGAACGATCCGTGTTGAAGACTTCCGCGGTTCGGTCGATTTGGGTCATCGCTTTTTGATCTTTTTGGTGCAAGGTCTACGGACGTGCTTTGAACTTAATCAGAGGCGAACGGAAGGGTAGTGCACAGAAAGGGTTTTGCAAAAACCTATTCTACTAACATCGTGGAAGGCACGGGACATTCGTAGAACCCAAGGCTATTCGTGGACGGTTCGTGGACTGGTGGGCCAGTAGGAGAACTGACTGCACGTGGCCGCTTGTGCTTCTTGTTAGGGTCAGAAGATGGCTTCAAGCTAGAGATTGCGGAAAGCAATGGTGCAGGCCCTTGCGGCGTGTCGCTTTTCTTCCAGCTAATTTTGAGTAGTGTTGAATTAGGCCAGCCGTGCTTTCCCTGTGTCGTGCAGACATTCTAGCTGATTCTTTCGGTGGCTTGCAGTTGAGTGCCCTTTTTTGTTCTTGGTTTCAGAAATTTGCGCTTGCAGAAGGGCGCTCGAACAAGAGACTAGGCAAACCTTGTGCCGGTGGCTGTGTCCTGTTTGCCTTCATTTCGTGCATAGCTCCAGCCAGGCCGACCAGCCTCATGCGCACCGGAGGCCGGCAACACCGTGCAGTAATCCAAACTGTTTGTTGGCTGCCCAGTGCAGACAGTGATCTAGGGCAGGTAGGCTATGCTGCCTTGATCCCGGGAGGATGTGTGCATGCTGCCAAAGAATGTGCAGCCGAACGTTTTCGCATGGGCCTGGAAGTTGGCAGATTTTGTTTTATCTTTTCAGAGCTTCATGGAGCTTCGGTCAAGGTGGTGCAGCCGCAAGGTCTCCTTCAGCTCTTCTTTCTCTGGCATTGGTGCTTTGGAGGTTTCTTTAGAGTGTTTGCAAACAGCCCTTAATGGTTGCGGGGTGCCAAGCCACTTCCACTCTGTGAGTGCGTGCGAAATTTCTCCCAGCTGCCGCTCCATTTTGCGGAAAAGAAATGCCCATTTGCATATCATCCCAGACATTATGGACAACTTTTTGGGTGAGATTCCTAAGTACGAGGGCTGCTATCACACTCTGAAGCAGAAGATGCTCAGCCTCCGTGTGTGTGAATCATGTCCATGCTGCTCTGGCGAACGACCACAAGCCTTGGTTGATGTGTCTGGCAGCCCGTGCCAACCACACAGTAGATGCGGCTCCCGCTTGAAAGAAAACGATAGCCGTATAGTCTTTTTGCTCGCGTGGATGTGTTTGCACAAGCACTTGCGGACGCCGGTCCTCATTCATGAAAATGTGGTTGGGTTCGAGGAACGCTTGCTGACGGAAGTCCTCGTCGAATACCACTGCTTTCAGTTGGTTTTAGAACCAGCAGACGCCCGCTTCAACCTAATCAGCAGAAAGCGGGTCTACCACATTCTGATTAGGCGTGACATACAAGTCTTGCAAAGCCCCGTGGATGTGTTTCGCCGCTTGGCGGCCCTTTTCCGGGCCCAGTCGCCGCAAGACATTGACTGGACATGGCTACCGCCTCTCGTCTCCTCTCTTGCGCAGCTACGTTTTCTAGTAGTTTACCTTCTTGGCCCACCCCAAGTTTCTGCAATAGTTAGAATGAAGGCCACACACAAGCCACTGCTCTTCCCAAAAGCTCTTTAGTTCCCAAACAGAGCCAATCAAACTTCGGCTGCCCAAGTAAGGAAACTGGTGTGCAATGAAGACCTGCTGCAAGAAGAAAATGCTTGCCGCCGACGGAAACGACTCCCAACTGTTACTGTTGTGTCGCCCGACTGGTCCATCCTTCTGACCGAGAAGCAGCAAGGATACCTTGCAGCCGCAGAGTCCAAATGGCTGGAGAGCTTCGGCCTACTTAGTGCAATGCTTTGTTGATTTTTTCTTTGGTTTGAAGTGGAAAACTGGAGTTCAATCTTGAGAGAGATCTAAGGAAACATGGGGTCACTGCGAAATTTGACAGCAGGTGTGTGGTGTTTAATTTGGGAGATAATTTGCAAGAACGCTCCTTGCCTCGTCCCGGGCCGCTGCCGTGCTTCAAGCACAACAAAGGCATATTGTGGGTCCCGCGGCTAAGCCGTTGGCTAACCCATAGAGAGCGCGCTGCGGCCATGGGCTTCCCTGTTTTCCCAAATTTGGCCCGCGAAGCAGGTTGTGCTTTGTCTTGCCTTGATATTACATCGTCACAGGTGGGCAATTCGTTTCATGTTGCTAACTGCGGCATGGTAGTGGTTTCCACCTTGCTTTGCTTACAGCACCCTTTGCCTCCAGACTCATGTGTTTGAAAAGAGGTTAGTGGGTTCATGTGTCAAGAAGCACATGGTTTTCCGTAGGTCCTTCCATTTTATTCGCTTCTGAAATAACATCTTTATCTCGAGCCTCAAGCCGTCAGAATGACTTCCCATGTGTTTTCCAGGTCGTCCAGTGTTGCAAACCAGTTTGAAGGTTCACCACCAGCCAGGTTTCAATGTTAAAGTGAATCAGCAATTTCTTGACGCTACCGGGCGCTACCCCCCGATCATGTCTTGGAGCAGCTTCGTCAACACAGACGGATCGTCAGGCTTTTATCTGGCGGATGACAGCGCCTGCCAGGACCCTCCAAACCCTCCAGCTGCATCATTTCAGTTGCCTTTGGAGGAAGATGGTCTTTTCCTGGACACGGAGGACGTTCAATCCATGTCCACGTGGAGTGACGCGTCGGAGCACTACTTTGATTTAGAAGACATGGAGGTCTGGCCTCTCAATGCAGTTGGTGCGAATTCTGCTTCTGGGTTTGTTTTGGAAGAAGAGCCAGGGTCGGTTGAGAAACAATGGAAACCTGGGCTTGACATGGGTGACGCTGTTGGCCGCCTTGGCGTTGGACTTGGAAATATCAGTGGGCAAAGTCAGATGGTCCTTGCTAATCTTTACTTTAGCCTGCGTCGGTTACCAGTGGGCTTGGTGAAGCAGCTTTGCGAGCAACTCCTCCCAACCAATCAAAAAGTTGCAAAACCATGGGCTGCTGAGGCGGCTGCCCGTTTGAGCAGGGTTGCTGCGAATACTATCAGGGCAGTGGTTGCCAAGTTGCGTGCCCGAAGCTGGGCTGTTGTTGAGCCAAGCAGCAAGCGACAAGCGGACCTTCAGGAATGTAGCACCAGCCAACAACGAAACCCAACTCGGATCATGAACCACTTGGTTGAAGAAGTCATCTCTCATGCCTATGAGGGTGGCAGCGACTTAGAACTCTTCCGAAGGCTGCAGAGGCTAGAAGCCCATGGCATTGACCTTGGTGATAAGTATCACTCCACGGAGTGTTTCCAATTGATAGAGTATTTGGCAGGACAAGCGAAGCAGCTCATGGACAGTGAAGACTTACTGGCGGATTTGGGTGGCCTTGGTATACCATCCAGGTTCTCCGTGATCTTTGATTGTGTTAGTTTGGGGTCAACATCCTTTTCGAGGCACGAGACGCTCTTAGTCACTGGGCTCTCCCATGTTTCGCATCATTCCGGCCATTTGCAGTCGATTTTGATCGGCGCGCCAAGTGCCGGGCTTTCCCACAGTGGGCAGGCTCAGGCTGACAAAGTTGTTGGGGCTTTGGCCAGCCACCCTGCTCGGCTTTGTGCTGATTTGTGCAGTCGGCGCCTTATGGCCATAGGGGGTGATGGGGCAGTCGTGCAAGGCGGACCGGAATCCCGCCATTCGTCCACGCGGGCGGGTAGCATGGTTTGGCAAACTTTTCGGGCAGGAGAGCCAGAATTTTTGATATGGGACATGTTTCACAGGGAGGACATTTGCCGAAAGAGGGCCTTCAGGTCCGTTCCACTCTGCGTTGAACTCTTTGACGTTTCAGCCGCCATGGCACAGCTGTATGGGACGGGTCAGGGTCGCATCGTTTTCCGCTCCACTGCTGCCCACATCGATTGCAAGGCATTGGCGGTTCCTGCACTGAGTGGGACCCGCCCGACCGTGTCCGAGCCTGGCGCCCCAGGTCGATTGTACGCCAATTTTCGAGCCTATGCGGCGTCCATGCATTCTAGGATGGATTTGGCGAGAGATGGATTTGGAAGCCAGACCTTGCAGAAGCTAGTGGGGATTGGGCAGCGTTTGACAGCCACTTGCACGACACCTCAAAGTTTTTTGAGGTGTCCTTTTTGCGCATGTAGATAGATAGTACGTGATTGCGCGCCCAGACGTTGGCATATAATATATAGACGCATGCTTCTAAGGCCATCGACTTTGTGACATTCTTGGTGTTGTTTGAAGATGTTGGCCGCCACGCCCTCTATGGACGAGGGCAGGTCTTTCAAAGCAATGCCGCGGACATTTGGTCGGTGGAGCACTCTGCCTTTGGAGGCGTGAATGCAATTGGTGATGCTTTGGGCCAAGTTCGAACTTTGAGGCGATTGGTCTTTATTTGCATGCTGCTAAAGTCGTATGTGTCCAGCAAGGCCAGGTTTGAACACTCACCTTAAGAGTTTGGCGCGATGGAATTATAAGGGATGTTGTTTCGCTTTGTTCGAGATGATGTCTGCATAATAGTTTGATGTTGGCAGTTGCTTAAACATTGCCCATCGCGCAAATATGTGATTTCTGGCTTTCTGCAGGACATTTTGGCGTTCTTGCAAACTCTTCTTTTGTCTGCCTTCGGAAGGCCTTGGAGCCGGTTTTTGGGAAACTTGGGCGGAGTGCTTCTCCAACATCAATTCCAAAAGTGTTTCTTACAACTTCCAGTTGACCACAGAGCTGATATTCAATGTTTGGCCCCCAAGTGCCAATGCAGTACTTTTGTGAACCGTGATGAGCCCTCTACTGTTGCCAAGAGGCTTCGTTGGAAGGGAGGGCGCAGAAAGCAAGTCAAAGTTCCGCGGTGGGTGGCACGGCCTACCGGCAACTTTGAAGATGCAGGCGCTCGCCCAGCTGATGTGATTGATGTTCCTCCCAGATATGGCTCTCGCGTTTTGGGTCCCGGACCTCCTGGCATGCGTGGGGTGAAGCATTTGTACAAACAGACGCCTGGGGGCCCACCAAGATGCGTCGTCGGAGTTGGCGATCCCCATATCTTCTCCTGTGTTGACGCTGCTCTACGCGCAATTGCATCTTTGTTGGCAGCCCTGCTCAGAGAGTATGAAGATTACTTTGGGCCTGTCGGCATTTCAACGGAAACTGCAGATTTGAGGGCTGCCATGCTCAAGGCATTTGATTGGAAAGAGCTTCTTGAAGTTCGCCAGCCTCGCCCAGAACACGTGCAAGCTTTCCACGCCGTTCTTCGGAGATTTGAGAGGGTGCTTTCAAGGACTGAGTGGCCAGACCCATACATGTTCCCGTATGTCCAGCGTAAGTGGGACAGGTCTGGATATCACGAGGCTCAATACGTGATCTTGGTCCGCAACGTTGTAGACTTCAGCCAGAACACTCCCTTCCGAACGAGATGGTGGGAAGTAACAGAGTACATGGTCGTGCCTGTGCGATTGCGTGGTTGTTTCCTTGCTGGCTTCGGACCACACCTGCGCAGTTTGGGGTGGGCAAGGCTGACGGCGCTGTGTGTAAGCCATTTGGTGGAAAGTTTTTGTTCGGTGGAGCAGGCCAAACCTTGGGCCGTCAGACCCGAGTGCTTGCGCTCTGTCGGTCGCAGCGAAGCCGCGCGTGGGTGGAGCATGACCGCGGCTCATTATCGTGGATCTACCTTTGCCTCTGTTGTGAAAAGTTTTCCTGCAGCCGAGCTTGCAAGCCAATTGGTTTGCGTTGTGGGTTGCGCCTCAAGACTTGATGTCAGCTCTGTCTCAGCCAGCATCGACACGGTGCCCGAAATCCACGCCCCACGTTCTGGAGGGCCTTCAGAGTGCCATGCCTGGCACGCTGCCTTGGTTCACCACTTGTGCAGAGCGCATGCCTGCGCCGAGTTTCCTAGCTGCAACGTTTTTCTCTCGTCCTGGCTCTCATGCAGGTCATTTTACATTCTGCTGTGTCGTCAGGTTGCACAGCGCCTTTTTTCAAGGGCGCTTTGGTGTACTTTCGCTACAAAGTAGTTTTAGCATGGGGGTTTGTGTGTCGAAATGCGGTGGGTTCCATCCAAGCCCTCTGTTGCCAATCGCGCATTTCAATGATGCGTGTTTGTTTTAGTTACTGGCTTTGAATGGCTTGCGGTTGACAAGTTTCTGAGGAGCTATTGCGAGCGCATTGGGTCGCAGCTCCACGATTTATTCAATAGCGATGGGGCAATGATGCCTTCGAGAGAGCCTCGTCTCAGCCGTTTTGACTTCCCTGTGGCTGTCAGTTTGCTTGTTTTTCAACCTCCACGAAGTTCATGTTGTATTTTTGGTGCAGCGCAATGACTTTCAGCGCCGTTAGGTAGTCAGCAGACTGCACATCAGGGAGGGCCGCCTTCAATGCTTGGGCACGCGGAGAGATGAGGCCGTTGTTGAAGAAGTTGCCCGGGCCATGCAGGAAGACCTTGGCAACTTGAGCGCTGTAAAGTATTTTATCAATCAGGGGACTGCCCTTTTCATAGCTTCTATGATTCTATGCAGACCTTATCCACAAGGCAAAAGGACCACGAGAGAGTGACGATGTACGAGGGCATATGACGGCCAATTTCATGCGAGTATATGCACAGTTCTGATAATATCTCTGCGAAGGGAGGGGTGCCCTTTTCATAGCCCCTGCAGACCGAATCCAGAATGCAAAAAGGGCACTTCTATTTCTTTGACGGGCAAACCGATGGGATCACCTTTCGATGTCCCATGGCGACGATATTAGGGCCCAAATATTCATGTGAGTTCATCAGAATCTCTACGAAGAGACAGACTGCAGACCCCATCCAGAATGCAAAAAGGGCACTTAGCTCAGACTTCCATTTCCTAGAGCCTAGACAGGCAAAACAGTGAGATCACCCTGCGATGTTTGAGCAAAATGGTGAGATAGCGACGATATATGAGCACCAATTTCATGTGAGTAGTGTATAGTTCGTTTTGATTTCATCAGAGCATCTCTGCACCCTTTCCACAATGCAAAAAGCCATCACTTCCAACTTCTATCCTTGAGGTATGCGGCCTCTGATTTCTCGCCGTCAAGTTCGCCGACGGCTGAACTCTGGAGCCCCTGCAAGTTCTTCTTACCGGCTCTCCTCCGGCAAGCAAGCCTCTGTGGTTGCTTTGGAAAAGACAGGATTGGCTCAGCTTAGCTATACGAACCAAACCAACAGAGGTTGAAGAACCCTACAGACTATCCTTCAGGTACCTCAGTAGAGTCCTATAGGCCGCTTAACCTCCGGAATGCTTGCCACTTGGCAGGACGTTGTGCAGATGCCACTGCAGTCGATCTTGAGCTGAACCGCTTGTTGCTCCCGGATGACCGCTGCTTGGCTCTTGAGTCAGGGTGGGAAAAGGCAATATTTTTAGTCGGCGCTTGTAAGAAAGCCTCAGACCCTCCTATATATGCCCACAGGTCAGGTAGGCTGCTCTCTGAACTCTGCCTGGTCCTTGAGGCGAAGCGTTCCGGAAGACGCACCGCCCGCTGGAGTGGTCCGAGAACAACATCGTTGCGCTGAACCGCCTCTTGGCTTACGCATCGCTGCGATCCTTCCACGTCACTGGGATCTCCATATCGTTGGAAAAACAGTCCCAGAGCCATTGTGTGGGATGTCCTTCCTTGGCCCCGCCAACCTCAACCACCATCAACCATCGATTTCCCAGCCCAGCCATCCAAGGAGCGATCACTGAGCGAGGATACTTGGCACCGCTTCCGCTGTTTGTTGATCGGAAGGCCCGAAGAGGGCAGACTCGTTCGGCGCTAGCTGCCAAGCTGGCAGATTGGCTCCAATCGCCTGAGGCGAAGGAGTGGAGGGAGGCCAGAGAAAAACTCTGGGCGTCTGAGTGAAAAACTTGCCTGGATCCACGGAGATTTGCTTGTCACATCATTTTTGGTTGGGGAAATGTTTCCCTAAGCTTTCTTTGCGGCGCTTGTTTTACAGGGTGGCCTTCGCACAGATTGAGCCACAACTGACAGAAGTTGCGGTCTAATATATACATGGAGGCCAACTGGCCCAAGTGGTCTGATCGATATCATGTGCAAAGCTTTGACCAGGTCTGGCATTCTCTCCACTTTAACATCTTCAGGTAGCAAGATGTAGCATATGATTCCTAACTTCCCCTTCTCGAACCCACAGAGTTTGCGATGATACAGACGCATATGAGGCAACCTCAAAATTATCATCAACCACTTTAGTAAGGGACGTTTCATCTCTGTGTTGCTTTCGTGATTTTCCTTGAAAAACGATAGGGGACTGACAAAAAACGATACCCCTATGTATACATACTTGCAAAATCCAAAACCATGGAAAACGATAGGGGGCTGACAAAAGTGAAACGAAAACACTCCAAGCATATATTTTGACGCTAACTCATATACGAATGTTGCAAGCCTCCACAGCTGCCGAGGTGTTGCGCTGGCCGGCTGCTGCGCTGCGCTGCTGCACTGGCCGACGCTGGGCTGGCGCCACGCTGTGCTGCTGGCCGACAGGGCCGACAGTAAAAAAGAGCGCGAAGGGCGAAGAGCCCAGGGGGCATGATTGCAGGGAAAGTCGAAGGATTCTTTTTGAAGTTGAGAAAGAAGTCCAAGGAGCTTTCTATACAGCCCAACCAGGTTGGATAGCCATAGGCGATATTGCAAGATGCTTCAGTGGAATCTTCCCTTTCCTGGCCGATGCAGCAAGACACCACAGGTATCCAAAAGTGATGTTTAGGCAGGTCATAAAACCACCTCTGTTGCATGATGATCGGGTACGGACTGTAGACATCTGCAGACGGTTCACGCTGAAATTTGAATAAATTTGAGTTGTGAAAAGCCTGGGTCTGTCACCATGTCAACCGAAGTCCAAAGGCCAAAGAAGGCGACGGCTATGATGCTGTAGCCGGCGAAGTGAATGGCATGAGTTGTTGACCTTGCGAGGTTTTCCTGGAGTGGTTTTGCAATGTTTTGCATGCTTTTTCAACCCATCCCTTTGACAACCATTCTTCAGGACCTGCATGATCCTGCATGGTTTGGGAGGTCTCTTAGATGGTATTTTCTGGGGGGAGATATTGTTGGTTTTGCTGTGTATTCAGACTTAAGCTGAGTGGTGCCATGTTTTTGTGAATCCTTTCACCTGCCAAATCGCAACTCAGGTCCGGATGCACGACGAGGCAAAGGGTCCAGGGTGTAACGAGCCTCAACGAGAGGCCCTCCTCAGACCTTGGCAAAACACAGGCCATTCAAGAATCCATGGCATGTCTAAATTAGGGAGGAAATCGCTAATTTGTGTATGGGATTGCATTGTTGGAGCGTTTTAAAACGGTTCAGAGGGGCTTGTTTTGATGATGTTGTTTCTTCTTTAAGGCCACGAAAGAAGCGACGAAGTAGTGACGAAGTAGCGACGAAGGGGGCCGCACTGCTGGGTGATATTGGGTGTTTTGAGGCCAAATTTGAGGAAAACATCACCCAACATCACCCTGTGTGAGCTCTTTTCATCCAACGCCCTGATCTAAAGAACTGCCAGATGTCCTTTGCATTCTAGTTTTTCCCCACCTGCCAGGCGAGGGTTGTTAGATTTTATGACAGTTGTTCTTCCTCCTTCTTTCCTTCCTCCTTGCTTCCTTCCTCGCCAACCTCCTCGCCAATCTTCATCGCCAATCTTCATCGCCAATCTTCTTCGCCAATCTGCTTCGCCAATCTGCTTCGCCGATCTTGTCTGGCAAGCTCCGGATCGCAGTGTGCACCCCTGGACCTCAACCGCAAGGATCCGAGCGCAGTGTGCATCCCTGGACCTCAACCGCAAGGATCCGATCGCAGTGTGCACCGCTGGACCTCAACCGCAAGAATCCGATCGCAGTGTGCATCGCTGGACCACAACCACAACCACAAACACAACAACAAACACAACCACAAACATAACAACAAGCACACACCCACAAAGACACAACAATAGACACACAACCACAAACACACAACCACAAACACACAACCACAAACACGCAACCACAACAACACGACCACAAAGACACAACCACAAACGTACAGCCACAAGCACAACCGCAAACACATCCACAAACACACAATCACAAACACACAGCCACAAACACCACAAACACAACCACAACCACAACACAGCACACAACCACAACCACAACACACAACCGCAGCACACAACCCGAGGACCCACAAGCAAAATCGAGAACTACAATACTCACGACCATGGCAACATGCTCCTCACTATGGCATCAAGTCAAATGATTGAAATGTCATGGTGGGGATCACTCGAAGTAAAGTAATTGAATGTGTTTTTAGTTCTTCGATTAAAGGCTGACTGGTGGCAACTTCAGTCTGCCACCGACTGATGCGAATGGACCACCTGTTTCGGCCTGCCAGATGAATGATGGTGAACTGGGACGAGAGGAGTTGATGCAGATCTTCCTCCGGATCAATCTTAGGCCAGCGGGGTCACCTGCTTGAGCCGAAGCTTCTAGAACATGGCACGCGAGTTTGGTGGCTATGTGGAGCATCTTCGGGGACGTCTACAGATGTCTACAGTAGAACCCTTGAACCTGGGCAGGGTTTGCTCTGGGTTTTTGAATGGTTCGTTTGGCGAGGGGTGGTTGGTGAAGATGCCGTTGGTGTCTTGACTTTGGTGAGGTGAAACCGATCGAAGAGTGGTGTTGATCAGGTGATTGGCGCCATGAGCACCAGGCGTTAACAGTCCTTAGGCTCACCCCGGCCGATGCAAAAAGGGGTTTCTTTTTTTTATCCCCTGAGTCCCTCCTCACAAACATCTCTCCATGGACGAAGGTCGGGACTTAGTTGAAGCCAGGAAGAGATGGGTCACCTCCACTTGAATCTTGTATAGATTTGGATCTGAAAAGCTAGATTGACCCCCAAATACGTTGAAGAGTCAATTCCAAAATCTGTTGGTATTTGACTATTTCTATAGTTCTATCCATTAAACAAAGTTAAGTTCTAGTTCATCTTTTCTATAGTTCTAGTTCAAAAGTCCCATGTTTCAACCCTACTCCTGTGATCAAGAATGGTGAGCTTCGTCTCATGACCCTTGACCAGGCTCAGGGACCTTGACCTAGACCGCTTGATGGCAGAGTTCGACTGCGGGTGTGGCGGGTGCGTGTTCGGCGGTTGATGGGTGAGCGGGATGTGTGGACGGCCTAGAGGGTGGATGGATGAACGCATATGAACACCCTTGACTTTGGAAGGTTCAAGAAAGGATAGCGGTATATGAGAAAGGTGAGCCGCTGACATGATGACACCATCTGCTGGAGAAGTAGATTTGTCGAGCAGACTGCGCATGGTGGGGAGGTGAAGAGAAACCACTGAAGAGTTCCCGATGCTGTGTTTTCCCCATGATTTCCGAACCTCCTATCCTTCACCACACGTCAGCAGGTTTTGCATGGAGGGTTCTTTTGCGCGGTCCATGCATGATTGGAGATTTTTGGAGCTTTGATCCTCAAAGGCTGTTGCATCAAGAGAACCAGCTTACTCTGTAGGTACGGTATGTGTGAATTCTGGATATTCTTGCCCAGGTCAGTAGTTGGATTCACCATTCGTTTGTACTGAAACCCTTTTGCTTGGATTGCAGCCCTTTTGCTAAGAACCTTGGATCGGCACCATAAGTTCAGCAAGCCCCAATCCACTCCCAACGAAAACCATAGTCCCTTCATCCCGAAACTCCACCGCCACAAGTGCTAGCAACTGATTATTGAAACTGACCAGAAGACCCGATGGAGTTGCTCACAATCAGGCGCCGAAGCATTTCCGTGGCCGAGTTGCAGTTCCGAGTGGAGGCGCTGTTGTTGTTGTCGTTGTTGTTGCCGGTAGAAACCCAACAGCCAACATAGTTGTCACATGTTGTAGCTCTGGAACTTCAAGGGGACAAGGTTAGGGATACGGTTGAAGGTTTGAGCTAATGTTGGCTTCGTAAGTAGCTGGACTTGTCGGACTTGCTTCACTGAAGTCTGAGTTGGTCCATTTGTGTTTCTTTTTGAGGTGCTGTTCCGGGGGGGTCAAAAGACCACAACGAGGCATAACGAGGCTGCAGTCTTTGTTTCTCGGAGGGAGTAGAGACAACACCTTTTGAGGGGGGGGTGCAAAAAGCAACCATGGAGCTCCAGTTTTATTAACGGCGTCTCATGGCGCTTCGGCAGAGCGAGCCATAAGATGTTAAACAAGGCTACCACGGCGTCTTTGTAGTAGAGGTTCCCGAAGATGGCAGTAGTAGTAACAACAGCAGTAGCAGCAGCAGCAGCATATTGTGGAAGTGGTGGTAGTGGTAGTTCAGTAGCAGTAGGAGTAGTGGTAGCAGTAGTAGTAGCAGCAGCAGAAGACGTCGTAGTAGTCGTAGTGGTAGTGGTAGTGGTAGTGGTCGTGGTGTTGGTGGTGGTCGTAGTAGTAGTAGTAGTAGTAGTAGTAGTAGTAGTAGCAGGAGTAGTAGTAGTAGTAGTAGTAGTCGTCGTGGTCGTAGTCGTAGTCGTAGTCGTAGTCGTAGTCGTAGTCGTAGTCGT